TAATCGGTCTACAAATGCGTCCTCAGGAGGAAGCAGCCCATGAATTTGAACATGACCCATATCTGTTAGAATAACATAAGTCATCTCCATCTGTGAAACGATGCTACACTCTTTAGCTCCTCTCTTGCATCAGATGCAGCTGAGGTTTTTGGAACAGGTCCAGTAATATCACTGACTTGTTGCTATAACTTGTTATTCCACCTTACCCAGAGTTATTGTATTTCCATATTCACCCAGCCTTATATTGAATTCATCGGCCCCGGGGTCTCCACTCGGCTCTTACACTTCTGCAGCTGCTTCTGACAAAAGCTGATGATGTTCTTTCAGGTGGAAATTAAGAAGCAGCCCGGGGCGACTCTGGCAGGCTTATTCGGAAATAGCTGAATTCTGTCAAGGCAGCAGACCACGTGTCGTCTAAAACGCCGCACTGTGCAAAACTCTTGAGCCAGACGCAGACAATTCAGTTCAACTCAAAGAGAAGCTGCAAAAAACCGTGTAGATCAGTAAAGGAGCGAGTAAATCTGACAGCTCAGGTGCGAGGGCAGGATTTATCCAGATAGATCAGCGTTCATTACAAACAAGTCTGTCCTGTAAGTGTGGAGTCCACCCGTCACAGACGACCACCAAACTTGACTGTCAGATCCTGACCGATCTACTGTGGAAATGTGCTAATGTTTTTTTCCCTACATGCAAAGCTGCAGGTATTTATTCAAGAAAAGGAAAGTTTGTGACTCACAGCCACCTGTGGACAAGAAACAAAAGGTTTCTGCAAACGCCTGAATTACATCCAGGGATGGTAAATGTTCTTTTCTACCTGAGCACACAAAACACGCTTACCTTATTCACCCCATGCACACGCATTCATACAATTTCAATGTATTTATTTACTTATTATTTTTTCATACGAGCACGTTTTTCTATGCTTTTTTTTTATCTAAGACTCACAGACGCACATTTATACCCCGATGGATGCATCAGAGAGCAACTTGGGGTCAGCATCTTGCTTTAGGATATGTGGCGTGCACTCTGGTGCGGCCAGAGATCAAACCATCAGTCTTCTGATTAGGAGATGATCTGATCTACCTCCTGAACCAGACCGTGTGGCGGTGGCAGATTTCTGTGCTGTTTCGCTCCGTTTTCTTTGATGGCCCGAACATATCTGAGCAGTTCTTACTACACCTGCTCGCCCCTCGGCAGCGCCTGCCTGCT